CTTACTAGTTGATTACTGAACTACTAGCAAAGGAACTATATTCATGGATTGGTGACCACAAACAGGCACCCAAAGAGCTCCAAGGGACACTTGTCTGAACAAAAATCACAAGGCCAACTGCTTCTGGAGCTGCAACCCATCAACAATTATGATTATCTCGATCAGCTTAATTTATCATCAGTAGCAATTGTATTTCAATCGATTATTGTTGAATAAATTGGTAATGATGGGGGAAAATGTTTTTAACGCTGCCAGTTCATATATAAATTGTAAATTTTGATCCTATAATGGAAGAGCTTTGAAAGGTTTACAGTGACGGAGGAAATCATGATATCATACAGTGGAAATAATGGAAGAGCTTGCATTTATTTACAGTGATGGAGGAAATCATGATATCATACAGTGGAATATATATATGATAGCATTTATTTAATAAGGCTCTTTTTTGATAAATTCTATTAAAATTTATTTTTGATATGGTGATAATGTGATTTTTTTGAAAAATAAATTACATAGAGAACTTGATAGGTTTTCGCCCACATTTAACTTTGCATCTTGACCATCGACGTCATTTTGCGTTTTCAAGCCATCCAAACTCCTAATTTTTTTCCAACGCAATTCTCACATCAACAGACTACACATAACTTTATTTGCTTTCAATATTCACCATTAGAGTTGCAGTTCAATAAAATTATTAAATTTAAACGTTGGGGGTTAGACAGTAAAAAAAAAATATACAAAATCTTAAATAAAAATTATAAAAAAATATTAATTTAAAATAAAAAAATTAAACTTGAAACTTATTCAAACCAATTTTTTTCAATCAAGATATTCAAATTTTCACTATTTGATCAAAAATATTCTATAACATATACATATATATTAAACTGAAAAATAATTTAATATTAACTTTTAACACTTATTAAACTGAAAAATAATTTAATATTAACTTTTAACACTTACCAAATTCCATAGAATGAATTCAAAATCAATATCAATAAAGTTTGAAGTAATTTAGATAAAAACAAAAATAAGGGGCTAAATTGCTATTTTTTAACCCATAAGAACATGTGTTTTAAAAGTATTTAAAAAAAAATAAAAAAAATTTTCTCACTTCAAATTAATTTTTTTTATTTTTTCATATGGTTTTAAGATTTTGATATCAAAAAATATTCTTTTAAATAAAAATTATTCTTTTAATATATTTTCAAATAAAAAATACTTGAAAATATTATTAAAATTATATTTTTAAAAATAAAAATAAATTCTGCCCCCATTTGTTTTTTTGAGAGTCGAGACCTTGGTCCTGGTGACACATGCAATGAATGCACGGTAATCGACTATTCAAAGAAAATAATTGAATTTTTACAAAGGAAACCGTGTGTTGCTCATCAGCAACAACTCACACTCTAGCCTTTTCACGATTTAAAAAAAAAAAGTGTGCTTGAGATACCATTTTCTCCAACTTGTAGTTTTTGACATTAATGAAAATCTTATCCTAACACGACCCCACTAATAAAAAACACAAGAAAACATCTCTTTGGCTTCCACTTTGCCTAAACCAGCAGCTAACATCCTGATCTTGTAGGCTATAGTTTTCACGCAAAGCTTCTGGCCCCTTGTGTACTATCTATATAAGCAAACCCCTGCTTACCATTTTCACCATCAAGCACAAAAGCTCGATAGATTATACCTCGTCTTCCTGAACTAAAAGAGTCTCCATCCTTCTGTTCTAGTACAGAGAAGAAAACAGAAAAAAAATGAGTTCAACAAGCAAAGCTTGGATGGTAGCCTTTGGTATTGCAGCTGTGGAGGCAATGAAAGATCAAGGGTTTTGCAGATGGAACTACACAATAAGATCATTACACCATCATGCCAAGAACAAAGTCAGGTCAATGTCTAAGGCCAAGAAGCTGTCTTCTCCGACTTCTAACGTGGTTTCAAGTAAAGTAAGAGAAAATCAGAAGGCAAAGCAATCAGAGGAGTCACTAAGGACAGTCATGTACTTAAGTTGTTGGGGTCCCTACTGAGGTTGTTGTTGGTTATAGAAGACAAAGATCAAACTGTTTGTAGAGTTCCCATCAAAGATTTTGATCAGCCAAGATCAGATTCTACTCCAGGACCGTCTATTGTATACTTGTCATTTTTTGTTTATTAAATTATATAAAATTTTAATTTGATTATAAACTGCTATTCATGTAGATATAAAATAATTATATAAATTTTATTTTTCAAAACCTATATAAACTTGAAATTGAAAATAAATTTTTGACGAAGCCTTTTATATGATAAATTATAACTTATAGTATTTTATTAACATTTAGTAATATTATAAATATCAATAATATCCTTTTGTGCTGAAAGTCATGAGCTATTTTAAATAGGATATCTGAAATTAAAATAAGAAATAAATTAGCTGCGCCCTGAATTCAGAAAGTAAAGTAATTTATATAGCACATGGGAAAGGTATTGTTAAATTTTCTTAAAGAGGATCCACTTAGGTGTAAAAACATTAAAATCAAAGAAAATGAAATGAAGTTTTTTTTCCTTTGAATTTAAAATTAAATTGTTATCGTACAAATTAAACTTCACAAAAATATAAAATTATTGTACATCGAATAGAATATTTGTTTTTTTACAATTATTTATGCTTCATAAATTTAGAATATAAATCTCATTCAAGCATCACAACATGAATCACGGGAGGATGCTTTGTCTAATCTCCTAAAAATGCTCCTGAATAATTAAAAAAAAAAAGAATTAATTTGCGAGGAACTTTTTCTAGTTTTAATTACGACTGACCTAGTGGATGAATTCGGGATCTGGCTAACCTAATCTATCATGGAACACTAGATGTAACACAAACAAATTACTCTCAATTTCACTAACAGCGGGCATGGAATTTCAGCCGTATTGAGTCTTGTATGATTCTTTACTGGTGCATTCTGTCGATGTCTAATATAGCCATGGAAAGGAAACTACTATCGCTTTCTCCCTCAATTCTAGGCAGAAGAGAAACAGAAAGTGCCGCTGGTAAGAATAAACCAAAGGCTTAGATTTGGCCGTAGCCATAAGCTAATTTGTAGCTGCTTTCGATTTGTTTCTACATAAATAGCCCATCTATGATTTGCTACTCCTTCCATAATCTACACAGAACAAAATTTCACATTATTGTAGTAGTTTCTTATAGTACAATGAGGTGGAAGAGCAAGGTTTGGACTGCTGTAGGCAGTGTAGCAGCCGTGGAGGAGTTGAGAGATAAAAATGTGTAGGCTAAATCCTGCCATGAAATCCTTGCACCATCAACATGTCATTAACAACACGGGATCCTCCTCGAAGCCTACTCAAGTGGGAAGTGCAGCAGCAGCAGGATCACCACCTCCACAAGCAACTACAGCTTCAAAAATATATAGAAGTAAAGAGAAAAGGCTTAATCAATCTGAAGAATCCCTAAGAACAGCATCTTTAGTGTTCTTAGGGATCGCCTCTCACCTACAAGTGATGACGCTAATCCTTATCTTAAATTTCCTTTTCCACTCGCCATTGCTTCCTTGCTGATTGTTATCCTATCTCATCTTTAACCATGATGATTAGTCCAATGGCAAGATCCAAGGAATCCATCCTTCATGGACCATGTCAAAAGATTTGGAAAAGTAAAGTCACTTTCTACAAAGGTTGTGTGACTAGAACCCAGCAGGCCATCTAGTGCCATATGCGTCTGGTTGGGTTAAATCATTGCCCGCAAAATATTTTGAATGAATCACCGAAATGAAATCATGGAAGAGAGATGCTTTTCTTGCAAGAGGGCCACATGGGAGCATCAGTGTGTATGTTCCCGTGTTGTTATTTTAACGTTTCCACAGGATCATGTTTCCAACATCATAGCAAATCATGATGTTTTAGATGCTTTCTTCGGGTCTAAAGTCTATTATCCATTCTTTTTAAGATAAAACATATATATAAATAAAAAAGTGAGTATTTGATTGTTTTTTAAAATATTTTTTTATAAAAATAATATTTTTTTAAATTAATTTTTGATACTTGCATATAAAAATAATAATTTAAAACTTATAAAAAATATTTGTTTTAAAAAAAAAACAATTTAACTATAATGCAAGGTATATTTCTTAAAGCAATAAAATTAAAGAGAGTCTCCATTTAAAAGCAAAAGTAAATTTTTTAATTTTTCATGGGAACAATAAAATTTTCTTTGGTGTGCATCCTTTTATATAATTTCACTCAATGTGTTTTTGGAGTTTGATTCTAAAAGAATTTTTGTAAAGATTCCCCAAGTCTAATATAAATTTCCTAAACAATATACTGTAAAATAGGATATATGGATTGGGTAGATTCTTAAAACCAAAATAATGGAAGCATGTGAACAAAAAAATAACCATATTATGGATGTGTTTGTTATTTTGATTTTTTAAATAATTATTACCAAACACAAAAAATCTATGCAATTCCTCCTCAAATAGACAAATAAATCAACCATAACCCCTTTCCCGGAGTTAAGCTGGGTTGATTAGGATAATTAAAATAATATTATTTTAATTTTTTAATTTATAATAATATTATTTTAATTTAACAAAAATTAATTAAATTTTTATTATTAACCCAATTAAATCAAATTAATTTTTAATTTAATTTTATTTTTACCCTCAATTTATGATAGGGTGGTCATGTATTTGTTTGATATTACAGTATAAAATGTTTTTGAAGAGTATTTTTTATTTAAAAATATATTTGAAATATTTTTTATTTTAAATATTAATATATTAAAATTATTTTAAAAAAATATTAATTTAATATATATTTTTTAAAATCGGATACACCGAAACAAAATTCCAAACATAAGCTAAACACACTCCAAGTGGACCTGCAAGATCAAGTTTAATGATCGTGACAACTAAAAATCCATTATTATAATTATAATTATTATTATTTTTTATAAAAATAGAAAATATAACTAAAGTACAAAACCCCTCCAAAAAAAAAAAAACAAAACTATTCAAATTTTCCATCTTTTAAGCAGAGTGTGAAATGAAAGTTTAGTCTTCGCAAAATGCCTTTCTGGCAAACGAGCACGGGCACTGGCAATGGCAATGCCACTTCTTCAACTAATACTACCACTTCTTCTTCTTCAACATCTTCAAGTTCCATGAGCAGTAATAACAGCAATGGCAACAATGGTTGTCAGCAGAACCAAAGTAACCAGCTTGGAGAGACAAGATCGAGTCTTTATTATTCGACTAATGCAGTATCGTTTGTTACTAAGTCTTTGTTGCCTACTAGAAGAAGACTCAGGCTTGATCCTCCTAACAAGCTATTCTTCCCTTGTAAGTATTGAGGTTTTGGGTTCTTTTTGTTGTCTATATTCTTTTGGTTTTTGTTCTGTATGCACAACTTGGACTCTTTTTTACTTTTTTTTCTTTGCTGTTTTCTTTAGTTTGTGTGATCTGGGTTTCTTTGTTTTTATTTCAAGCAAAGATATTCTAACTTGTCGATGTTATAGATTACACAGCTTAGATTGTCGTCTGCATGTTTTATCTGATATGAACTGTGATTAATAGATTCATTTGTTGTTTGTGATGATCTGGGGAGGGGGGGTTAATTTATTGAAGGGAAATGAACTTTTTGAGGATGATAATGTCGAGTCCTTATGAAAACAGATTGATTATTCTTTAGTTTTCAAAATCAAACAAGTTTAAGAAACCTGATTGGGTTTGCTCATTGTATATCAAAAAGCAAATCATCGAACTTTTCTCGATTAATGTACTTGGAGCTGAGAAATCTTTTATTATTATTATTATTATTATTATTATTATTATTGGTTTTCACATTTGAAGCTATCATTATACAGATGGACTAGTTTTTCTTGATTAATCTTGCTATTTCTGGGGTTACTTTATGTGTGTGTTTCCATTACTGTAAATTTTGCAATGAACTGGATTTGTGTTTGCTTGGTTCTTAGTTTGTTTCAATCTTATTGCATTGAAGATGAACCAGGAAAACAGGTTAGGAGTGCCATTGGCATAAAAAACACTAGCAAGTCTCATGTAGCTTTCAAGGTACGAATAATCTGTCTTTTTTTTTTTATCAATGATTTTTATGTTTATCATTTTTTTTGGGAATTATTGGTGATATGATGGCTGTTGTAGTTCCAAACAACTGCACCAAAGAGCTGTTACATGCGTCCTCCCGGGGCTATACTTGCACCTGGTGAAAGTCTTATTGCAACTGGTAATCAATATCTCCTCCACCACCTATCTTGTTCATTGTGCCCAATAAAATGATCAGGGACTGTGTGCGCTGTATACATTTTGATTTTAGGGAATTATCATTCTGAATCATTACTTGCCAACAGTATTCAAGTTTGTGGAGCCTCCAGAGAACAATGAGAGACTACTGGATCAGAAAAGCAGGGTAAAGTTCAAGATCATGAGCTTGAAAGTGAAAGGAGAAATGGAATATGTTCCTGAGATGGTATATTGTCTGCACCTATCATCTGTTTTTTATTATTGATTCTACATTAAGCTCCTGTCAACATGTTTTGATGAACATCTTCCTTTGTTTTGTTGATAAAACTATTGGTTTTCAACATGGTCATAAGCATCATTACTAAGGGTGATAGATTAGTTGTAAGAATTACTTAAAAGAGAACTCTGGCAAAAAAAACAGCATTGTAAGTAGAAAATAAGAAGTGGATGCATCAGTCGTTCAATATGAACTTTCGATAGGCTAGCCTTCTTTGTTCCGACTTCCAACTCTGATTTGTGAATCTTCAACGGTAGTTTAAATGCTTGTCAATAAATGAATTTCAGGATTTCTCGACTGCATTTTCATTTTGCTTCTGTTTTCCTTCATCTGAATCATCTATCAGAATTGTGAGCTCTCTATGATTGGCATACGCTTGTTTCATGAAACATGTAGGACTGAAGATCTAATTTTCTTATTTCAATGTGTAAGCTTATTTTTGGTCTGTATGCCAGGAAGAATGCTTCTGATGTTGTGTTCTATTACAAAACAAGGGAATTGATCTACACAACTGCTGAACAAGCTATGTTTATGCATTTTTATGCAGTTTGATGAGCAGAAGGATCAAGTAGCAGTTGAGCAAATTTTACGAGTTGTTTTTCTTGATCCAGAATGCCCTAGCCCTGTAAGTAAAACAAATACATCTCTTATATGTTCTCTGCCTGTATTTAAAAGGAAAATATAAACACCAAAAACAGGCCTTCTGAATCTTCGAGGAAATTCTGTTTTGTTTCCTTCAAAGGCACTGGAAAAGCTTAAAAGACAACTGGCTGAGGCTGAAGCTGAGCTCGAAGCACGCAAGAAGCCTCCAGAAGATGCAGGCCCCCGAGTTGTTGGCGAAGGACTCGTTATAGATGAGTGGGTGAGGTCTTGAACATTTCGTTTGCCATTTATTTATTCTTTACAACATTGTGGCCTATAAATTTTCCTGACTTTGCTTCTCTGATATGCATTTCAGAAAGAGCGGAGGGAAAGATACCTGGCACGCCAGCAGGTTGAAGTTGATTCTGTGTGAAGATCCTGTTTCCTTGCAAGCACTTGTTTTATCTTGAGTTGAGGTTTCCTTCATGCAATGTTGAATGCTTTGCCTCTCGGTCCGTTGGTGGAGGTTGATGTGTGATAAGTCCGGTCCTTTTAGGGGTGCAGACATAAGATTTGGAAAGCAGGACTTATGAGCAAAGCCTGTTAAAAAAAAGGTAAAATCAAGGCATTTTGTTATGTCATATTAAGCTTTAAGGCACATAATTATGTACTTGTGCCCTATTTATTGTAGATATGGGATTTTGATTAACGATGAATTAGTTAAATTTGTGTTGTCAAACCATGGTTTTATTTCTGTATTTTTGCTCGCAAGAACAATATTTTTAGCCCTTACGATGCCTTTCATGCTCTAAAATGATAAAAATTTACTATAAATTTATTCCAAAAACATATTTATTTTAAGCTTCTGTATCCATCTCTCAACCAAAACACGATTATATCTTGTCAGTATCCGTCACTTACCCTACTTGTTTACTTTTTGTTTCTTGGGATATTGGAGCTTTATAATCATTTTTATAATCATTAGTACACGTGTAAATTATTTATAATGCTGTCACGTAAAGCATCATAACATTGCATTATTTATAAACATTGCATTATTATTTGGATGGTTCATGGAAGTGACAATGGATACATGCTAGCTCAACTTTGCTGCTGCTGTTGTTTTGCACATGAAAGCAACCTTTGAGCAGCTGTCCTTTATTGGTATTATTTATTGGATTGACAGCCTGATAGAGGCAAATTTGGCAGCTTAGTTGGAGATTTTGCCTGAGGAAGGGAGATATATACCTTTTTCTTTTGCTGATAAGGTAATGAACTAGTGGAATTTGGATTGAGATCTGGATTTGGTTCTTACTTTGTGTTTTGTCCACTGCAATTAAATTATCCTGCTAATGACAGTGATCAAGAACCTGGAATGTGTTGTGCTTAATTTGGACACTTCCTGGAAAAAAGAAGTCACTTTTATCGTGCTAATCCTCCTCATGCCTTGCATCTTTGTGTTTTTGATTGCCTTTAATAACATCCAAGATGCCTTCATCTAGCACGAACTAATAAATTAAAGAAGAAATTACATGAAACATAGTTTGATAAGCAAGATCGTGTTGAGAATAAAGGGGAAGATCTTATCTTCTAAAGAACTTGAAATGGGGAAGATCTTGTTTAGATAGATTGATAGATATGGCCACCCAAACGTAGATGACAATATGAAGCTTTAGCACTATCGAGGGAGAAATGATTGTGAATGAATTAATTATTATTATTATTATCATAAAAAATTTAAATGTCTTTCACTGTAAAAGTAAAACACCTTGTAATAGTAATTTATTTTTTTCATCCTTTTATTTTATTTTATAGTTCGGCAATATTTTTTTAATTTTTTTTCTTTTCATGATTCATTTTTTTAGAAAATAGACTTAGTTATTTGTTTATATTTATTTTCTATTTAGTTATTGTTGTGTTAAAATAAAAAAAATATTCTGTGCCGCATTTTTTTTTTGATTTTGTAATTTAAATGAAATTGATAATAGGAGGATTCAAATTGAAAATGGATGAAAGGCACTGTTCATCCACATTTATATCATGATATTTTCCCAATATTTTATTTTAGTCCCTTCACTTTTCTTTACATTTATTTTTGGACCTTTTAGTTTTTAAAATTCTTCTATACATCCAAAACTTTAGATTGAAGGGCTCCTTACAATCCGAGATATCTTTATTTATATCAATTTCTCAGCTTCTTGATTAATTTAGTTTTTGATTTATGTAAATATTTCCTTTTTATATTTATTTATTTGATTAAATGAATGTTTTAATTTTCTGATTCATAATGAAATCTTTCTTAAAAGCTAAAAAACGCGTTGCCAATGCTCAAATTCTTTTAGGGACTTATAGCATATCATATTATAACTAGCTTGTCGCTTATAAAATATCATTTGTGGGGTTCCAAGACAATGGAATATTTAGGGACCCTCCAAGGGAACGGGATAGCGTCTCTCTCCCAAGTGGGTTGCAAAGTTAAGTGGAACTTTAATCTAAAAAGGTTGAAATCAATTCTCCTTGTCCCCGTAAAATGCCATCTAAAGGGCAGTCATGATCTTTATCCTTGAATTTATATTAACTCATCATTAAAGTTGCTAGGTGGACCTCTCTTTGATAATTGAAATATCACAATGTAGATTCATAAATTTCAATGGGTTGGTTGAAAAAGTATGTTTTTATTTTAATATTTCTATATTTAAACCTTTAAATTATTAACAGAAACTAATTGATAAGTGAAAATCATTCTTCTTCATCTTATAAAGTTTTGTTTATTAAAATTTCCATATATTTTGTAATTATTTTTTTTATTTTTTAATACTTAGGTTGGATAAAAAATTAATTTCATAATTTATTTTTATTTATTTTATATAAGGTTATTTTAGTAAAATAATGCCAGTCAAAGATTTAGAGGATTGATTCTGATTTTTTTAATTGATTATTTTTTTTAATTTTATCATATTATTAGATTAATTTGAAATTGAATTTCATAATTTATTTTGATTGATTTTTTATTAGTTTATCCAAGATTCATAATCTAGATTTAATAAATTAATCCGGTGAACTTGAGTTTTTTTTATCTATTTTTAATTTCACTCATTCACATTGAGTTAATTGAAAATCGAGTTTCAATATTTTTTTTTTAATTTAACTTCTATAAGATTATGATAGTTTTATAATTCAGATAATAGATTTTATATATTAATTTAGATTAATTCAAATTAATTTAATATATTACCATTTAGTTATTGTTGTGTTAAAATAAAAACAAAAACATATTTTGTGCCGAAATTTTTTTTTTTTTTGTAATTTAAATGAAATTGATAATAGGAGGATTCAAATTGAAAATGGATGAAAGGCACTGTTCATCCACATTTATATCATGATATTTTCCCAATATTTTATTTTAGTCCCTTCACTTTTCTTTACATTTATTTTTGGACCTTTTAGTTTTTAAAATTCTTCTATACATCCAAAACTTTAGATTGAAGGGCTCCTTACAATCCGAGATATCTTTATTTATATCAATTTCTCAGCTTCTTGATTAATTTAGTTTTTGATTTATGTAAATATTTCCTTTTTATATTTATTTATTTGATTAAATGAATGTTTTAATTTTCTGATTCATAATGAAATCTTTCTTAAAAGCTAAAAAACGCGTTGCCAATGCTCAAATTCTTTTAGGGACTTATAGCATATCATATTATAACTAGCTTGTCGCTTATAAAATATCATTTGTGGGGTTCCAAGACAATGGAATATTTAGGGACCCTCCAAGGGAACGGGATAGCGTCTCTCTCCCAAGTGGGTTGCAAAGTTAAGTGGAACTTTAATCTAAAAAGGTTGAAATCAATTCTCCTTGTCCCCGTAAATTGCCATCTAAAGGGCAGTCATGATCTCTATCCTTGAATTTATATAAACTCATCATTAAAGTTGCTAGGTGGACCTCTCTTTGATAATTGAAATATCACAATGTAGATTCATAAATTTCAATGGGTTGGTTGAAAAAGTATGTTTTTATTTTAATATTTCTATATTTAAACCTTTAAATTATTAACAGAAACTAATTGATAAGTGAAAATCATTCTTCTTCATCTTATAAAGTTTTGTTTATTAAAATTTCCATATATTTTGTAATTATTTTTTTTATTTTTTAATACTTAGGTTGGATAAAAAATTAATTTCATAATTTATTTTTATTTATTTTATATAAAATTATTTTAGTAAAATAATGCGAGTCAAAGATTTAGAGGATTGATTCTGATTTTTTTAATTGATTATTTTTTTTAATTTTATCATATTATTAGATTAATTTGAAATTGAATTTCATAATTTATTTTGATTGATTTTTTATTAGTTTATCCAAGATTCATAATCTAGATTTAATAAATTAATCCGGTGAACTTGAGTTTTTTTTATCTATTTTTAATTTCACTCATTCACATTGAGTTAATTGAAAATCGAGTTTCAATATTTTTTTTTTAATTTAACTTCTATAAGATTATGATAGTTTTATAATTCAGATAATAGATTTTATATATTAATTTAGATTAATTCAAATTAATTTAATATATTACCCTCTTAAATTTTTTAAACACTTCATTTTGATTTTTTACTTTTGCAAAATTATGTTTTTATTTTTTTAATTATTTATGCTGCTTTTAAACTAGATAAATCAATGGGGTTTTGTTAAGGATTTCCTCCCACCATGCAGTAAGGACATGGTTAGCCCACAAACTTTGACTATATGATTATTATCTCCTCTATGATAGGGACCACACCATTGATTTCTTTTCCCTGCCTCCTTTATGATTCCTACTTGTATCTGCTTGCTGTTGCTCTTGTGCGATACCTTCTTCCTCTAGTAAAAGAAAAAGAAAAAAAAAAGGAACACTGCCCCTTTAGCTGCGTCTATGCAAGACATATTTGGATGGTACCAAAGTTATTTTCCTTTCTTTTTCATTACTATTTGTTGAAAATATATAATGCAACTCATTAAGCAATGCCAATAGAAATGCCTAAAGGAAAAGGAAAATGATTTTTAATTTTAGTAATATATTCATTAAATTTGATTCAAGGAAATAATCTAATAATCTAATAATTAATGGTTGATTATATTAAATCTAATCAAGTCAACTTTAATAATTTTTTAAAAACATCCAAGTTAAAATCATTTTCATTGCAAAAACTTAATCTAACAAGTTTACAACCCGAATTATTTTGATAACTATAATGTATAATAATTGTCAAAAAGGGGCACTCAACAAAGATTAAACCAATGATCTATCATCATGACTCAAAAAGAAAAATCAACCTAGCTCTCAATTTGCCAATCATTTTCAATTGGATCCTTGAACTAATTTTTTTAATAGATTTCAAAGTATTAAACATTCTTCAATTGAATCCTTCCATCATACCTAGAAACTAATTTGAAAAAAATATAATGAAACTGTTTATTGAAAATATATAATAAAACTCATTAAGCAATCTCAATAGAAATGCCTATAGGAAAAGGAAAAGGAAAAGGAAAATAATTTTTAATTTTGATATTTATAAAAATAAAATAAAATATAATTATTAAACTTGATCCAATAAGTGATCCAATAATACAAGTAATTAATAGTTAATAAAATCAAATCTAACCAGATTAAATTTAATAATTCTTTTAAAATATCTAAATTGAAATGATCAAATATCATTTTAGAATTAATCCAACAACTTATAACTCAAGTAATTTA